GGTGACAGATGAGTCTTCAATTTGTAGACTCTAAAATTTAAACAAGTTATAATGCCCCCTAAATAATTTCTTTTCCATTTTCATCATTCTGGCTCCTCTTTTTAATGATTTGAATCTGTCTCAATGGAAGCCATATACTCTTATATTTAAACCCTATTTTCTTTTAAACAGTACCAGCCTGATCCCCTTGCCTCTCTAAGAGGCCTTCGTTGTTCCCAGTTACTAAAACATTTCTTAAAGGACAAGAAGGAGAAAACACCTGATCCTCGGTGGGCCCATCCAAGGATGCAGAGCCTCCCAGTTCTTCTCCTCTTTTTAATATCTGTGTCCCTTTATTTAGAGACATTTTAACTTTTCCCTTCCCTATCTCCTTTCAAGATCTTTTCATCACACTTCATAAACATACTTTACATGGAATGACTTTTCTTCTGACCAACAAGGCAAAACGTTACAGAACAATAGTAGACTGGACAAAACATTTAACATAAAACCAATTCACTGATTTCACCCAACTGCAGGGACCTTCCCTGTCTTAGAAAGAATCCACTAGAACCACTTGCTCATAGGATTCTTATCTTACCTGAGACTCAAGTTCCCAACTTGGTCTCCTCTCCTCATTTTTTCCCCTAACCCTGGGCTCGTCAGCCCAATATTTCAACATCAACCCCAACAGGCCATCACGGGGGATGTTATCCTGAACCCTCCCAGAGTTCTTTATTTCACTAAGCTTAGATTCCTTTCCTCCCATCCTGTCTTCCTTCAAGTCTTATTATACAAAATAAATTTCAACTTACAATCGCTCTGTTCCGTCACTGACTGGATCTCTTGCGGTAGCTGGAAACGCAGATAAAAGGATTCCGCACTTACTTGGCACAATGTTTTGCGCCTTTCAGACACTCATCCACACATCAATCATTTTAAGTCTGAGGTCAAGGATGTTTCCCACCATCCCCTCAGTGATACGTACCCGCCACTGTTTCTAGGGGTTGGTGTAAAAGGACCAACAAGGCACATTACTTAAGCCAGATTTTTCATGTGCTTGATCCGAGCTCAGAGTTACCAAGTCCAGCGCGCACTCACTTATCGTTCCTGATTCACTGAAGGTCTGTCCTGCCTTCGGGTATTTTAGTCGGCCTCCCCCCTAGGACCCCAACCACAACCAGCGAGACCGCTGAACTCAGCGGGACGCGTCTTCTCACTTGGCGTGTGGTAGTGGCTCCAGTAGGGGGCGACAGGGATCCAGGGCGAGCCCCCAAATTGTCGTAAATGAAATTCTCTCTTACCAATAAGTAATTTCTGGAGACAGACTTTCCTTCAGTGAAACAGAATTTATTTGGTTACAGCCTGCAGACTGGGTGTGCTACCCAGAGAGTCCTGGGATCACACGCCTGAATTGTGTTCTGTGGCAGATATTTATCCTATCCCGGAGTGGTTTGGAAAATAAAAAAATGCCCTCTTCCGGCCACCAGAACTGGTGACAAGAAGTTACATAGTAATTCCCGATCGCCTAATTACTTCACTTCTGCTTTTTATTAAGACAAAAACCCCTACTTTCCCAAAAAGGGCATAATTCCTTTAGGCCAAACATAGTATTAACTTTCCGTACTCTTTCCTAACCTTTTCTTCATAACCCACAACAGCCCACCGCAAATATCTTGAGACACAGATATTCTCGTAAAGGGATGGTCTTCTTGTAAAGAATGGACTGATCTTCTCGTAAATCGGGACTTTCAGACCGCAAGATGTCCCATTTCATCAGGCCTGTCTTGGGCCATCATCTCTGCAACAGACTTGTTTATCAGAGTCAAAAATGCCAGGTTCCTCATTTTAGGCCGGTTAGCATATACACTAAGAATATATAAAAATATGCAAGATTAAACATAATAATTCCTTTGCAAAGCTTCTGCCTATGTTATGTTTCAACTGCCCAACTGTTAATCATTCCACTGGATAGCCAGGCATCTTAGGTGCTTTTCCTGTTACCCAAATTGCTGATTGTAGCCAGGTTCTTTGAGACTGCTACATTGACAGAGGTCCATCAGTAGCTATTAGCTACAATATATATATATATGGGCTCTGGGGCAAGTGATGCTCTGTCTTCTTGGTGCTTGGGGGGTTTCAACAGTGGGAGGGCTTCTAATTGTCCTGGCCCCACTGGTGGACCTCCAGATGGCACCTGGTATTTCTGGCCACTGTGTGATACAGAATGTTGGGCTGGATGGGCCTTTGGCCTGATCCAACATTGGCATCTCTTAGGTTCTTATGACAGTTGTCTAGGCCACACTTCTGCTTTCTAATTAAGCCAGCTTCAGCATTTATTCTCAAGCAATATTCTCTTAATTTCAATACCCAGCAAACAGGCAAGTTTAGTATAAGTTTTAGAGTTAAAAAGATAATTTATGTGAAATAGTTCTGCCGCATGACACTTCTGCTTTCTGCTGAAGGCAATCTTTTGCAAGGGTCTTCCGCATCTACTAAGTGGAGATGTTTGTGCAAGCTAGTTCTTGCTAGTGTCTGACTTCCCCATTTCCAACTCCCCTTTAGCTCAGCTTCTTATTAAGCCTTAATCATTAATTGATTTCCAGCAATGCAATTTTTTTTAAAGCAAGGTTCTTTTAAAATCAGAAGCCCCTTATATTATTGCATTTCTTACAACCTGTTGTCTGAAATGAAGTTTTTAATAAATCAACTGGTGGTACCTAACCTGCTGACAATATCTATTTTAACCCCACAATGTTCTAGAGAAATTAGTTTATGTGGAGTTTTTAACTTTTTCATAGTAAGATATTTTTTCCTCTCCCTTTTTGAATAGTGCCACGTGCGTGGAACATTACAGTGCAATATATTTCAAAAGAACTGGTCCCAGCCTGAGGAGATTACCTGTCAATATAGGGCCCGTGTTCCCTGCCTCATGTTGTATACCTGTTCCCTGCCTCATGTTCCTGGTGTTCAGAGTCCACATACAGTTAATGTTCACCTCATGGGCTCAAGATCTGTGTTTGATGCCTGACAAGAATGTTGAACCTTGACAAGAGAGCGAGTAATTTAAAACTGTCACTCTGGTAAGTACAGAATATCGTAATTCAGCCTGCTCTGCCTGGGAAGGTGAAGCATAAAAATAGCAGGGAGTTCAGTTCATAGGCACTGAGGGATGAATAAGAAGGGGAAGGGGAAGGGAGGGTGTTGTGGGATGAATCTAGAGTGAGTGCCCCTACACGTGGTTTGACTCTGTGCCAGTTGGGTGAGGACAAATCAGTTAGGGCAGAAGGTAGGATGAAGTTGAGCCTTGAAGAAAAAAACACCCTATAGATGTTGCAACAGTGAGCTCAGGCATAAGCAATTAAGGAAGAATGGATGGACTCATTTGAGGGAGCAGGAAACTTTATATTGAGTAAAAGTGGTAAAACTGGAAGAATGATCATGGGCAGAGATAAGTAGTAAACATATCTAAGGACCGTGATGCTTTCTGAACACAACTGTATATGTTTGGGTTGTCAGGATATATATATATATATCATTTCCAAAGAGAAGTTTTAATATTTCTGTGGCAGCACGTGCTCAGGGAAGAGGTGTTCCCATTCATTTGTCTTCAGGGCAGGAGAGGTTCAAATCCGAGGACTTCTCTTGGCCTGTACAATACAACAGCTGTCTGTCATCTTTTAAAGGTAATTTGCAGGGCCTTTGCAGGACAGCTTTCCCAAAAAGCCAGCTGACTGTAACCGAGGATTGGGTTGCTACATCTCTGCCCTGAAGCAACCATAATTAAGGGTTGTTATGCTCATGCTCCTGCCAACGTAGCAGTTCGAAAGCAAGAAATTGCAAGTAGATAAATAGGTACCACTTCGGTGGGAAGGTAACAGCGTTCCATGCGCCCTGGTGTTTAATCATGCCGGCCACATGACCACGGAAACGTCTTCGGACAGCGCTGGCTCTTCGGCTTTGAAACGGAGATGAGCACTGCAACCCTAGAGTCGGATTCGACTGGCTTTCGAGCAAGGGAACCTTTACCTTTACCTTTATGCTTATGGTGTTCTGGGTTGTCAGAAAATTTATAATCTCTAACAAATCTTACAGTATTTCTCTGGTGGTACAAGCACAGAAAAGTGGCTTGCCCATTAATTGGTCTTGCTAGCATGCTAGAACTCTGTCATATGTCAGACATACATACCTGTCTTTCCTCTGCCCAACCTTGGAAGTAAAGGAAAATTTGTGAACTCTTGATCTTTTTGGGTTCATCAGGCTCCAGTTGGACGGCTTCCAAACTGGTTCTTTGCCTTAGGTAGTGGAGGGGGAAACTGGGCCTCCTTCTCCAGATTCGTGTCTTGCATTGGAGTTCTTGTTGACACACACCCTTAGCTGAAGACCTTTGTGCTCTTTAAAACAGAGAAGGAAGCATTTCACCAGAGGCAGAGATGAAAATGTTTCCTGCCGGCAAGTCCTGCCTGCTCTTTGGAGTATTGCTGTGTGCCAAGTCCAGCACTGGATCGTCAACAGAGAGCCAAGGTAGCTTCTTTTGCTTTTTGTGAGAAAATGTTATCGGGAAAATTAAAGGCAACTGCTGTTCAGGCAGAGGCTTACATAATATCATTCCGTGAAGGACTTTTATGTTGCTGTCATGTTAGGAACAGTCTCAGCTATTTGTTTCTTTTAACTGTACTTTGAGACAAAACAGAATCGAAAGGTTTGTGAGGCACTGCAAGATGCTTCCTTTTCTGCTTATCATGTGAGATCCGTATTATATGTTTTATACACTTCAGCTTAATAGCTGTGTTGTGAAATGCATGTTTGCGTAGGAATAAGCCCTATCCCTCTTAAGGGGACTTGCTTCTGAGTAAGCATGCATAAAAAGGTTAGCTATGGCATTATAGTGGAAAAGAACAGTGGGAGACCAGAAAGCAACAACGGGAGAGTTAACGGCACTGCTTCTAATAAAGCAAAAAATGATGTGAATGGAAATTAGTGAACAATTTTGAGGGCAGAGTTTAAAGGCAAAATTTGTTCTAAATCTAAGATGGTCTTTTTGTCAAGCTGTAGAAGTGTGTGAATTATCAGGCCAATATAAGGGTAGACTTATTATTTAGTTTTATGCATTATTATTCCACTTCTCTCTGCAACAGGGACCTACACCATTCCCCCCTCCTCTGTTTTATCCTCATGACAACAAGACTGTGAGATAGGTTAGGTCGAGAGTGAGTGATTGGCCCAGAGCGACCCTGCAAGGCTTCTGTGGCAGAGTGAGGATTTGAACCTGGGTCTCCCCGATCCTACACCCCAAACATGACCCTCTGTTGGTGATGCTCTAGGCTAGGGGACCCCAACCCTGTTCAGCCTGTGGAAACTTGTAGGGCACTACAACAAAATGGCTGTCATGAAAAGCTGGAGCCAATTTTAAAAATGTCTGCCATGGGGTACTGGGGCCATTCACAAAATATCAGGACGTTGCAGCTCAAGTATCCTCTTCCTATGAAGTCAATGGTTTCTGGGTTCTCTGACTCCAATGAGGTGGAGAAAAACCAGGATTGGCTCTTTGAGTTGAGGAAAAAGATGCTTTGGGGATGAGGCAAATGGGTATCAAGAAATTCACTAGTGACATGCTGGGGATCTAGGCCAATATTCTGTAGAAGCCTTTGGGAAATTCACGAACAGACCAAGAAAGTAATAATTAATCAATAATCATCATATGGCAGTCTGTGTAGTATAGCCTGGCGATCCTAAGATTGTCTGGCAGCCAGAGGTTCTAGCTCTTTTAGCATTATGCACCACTAGGCGGTGAGCTAGACTTTGTTTTTAAGACAAGACATTGCAGAGGTGGGTTGCCATTGCCTGCCTCTGCCTCACGCCCCTGGTATTCCTAGAAGGTCGTCCATCCAGATAGTAGCCAAGGCCAACCCTGCTTAGCTTCCAAGATCTGACGGGATTAGGCTAGCCTGGGCTATCCAGGTTAGGGTACCAAGAAAGTATATTCTGTTCAGTGGCAGACCACTTCGCTATCATGGTTCGTTGTCACTGACAGATCTGTGGATATGTTTTTTAAAGTTTTGTGTGGGCAAGGCCGATTTCATTGCTGGAGATTCAGAGAAATTAAATCTTGTATATCATATACCTAGACTACGGTACGTGCTGAGAGAGCAGGGAGTGTCTCTAAACACACCAGGTATTTTTAAAAACCTGGACAAAGGGTAAACTGAACAAAAGCCTCTGTATGATGATGAATGGAATTGTTTAACATCATGTCATGTTGAAGCAGTTTGACTTATTCCTTCACACAAAGAATCTTTTCAGGGCACAAAAGAATATTGCCTCACTGTCCTGGGTTTGATGAACTGGGAAGCTTTCTTGCAAAAGCTCCGTTGAGACAAATGGGGACTGGGCAAGAACATGGCAGGTTTGGCTGGCCTCCAGGCCCACGACCCTATCAGTGCCCACGACCCTCATCAACGAGTAGGGTGCCACAGACTCAAGAGGGGACCGTTTTGCAGAGCAGTTCTGCAAGAATGAGCATACCAGTTTGCAGCTCTTTGTCCTGTCTGACCTGACCTATAGGTCTCACTTGACCTATAGAGAACAAATGGACACATGGAAAATTCAGGAGGTAAGAGAGGGCAGGGCTGAATAAAAAAGAAGCATATTATCAGAATTCTTTATTCCTCTACAGAGGAATGGTCCTCCTCGTTACCCTGCAGATCCAAGGCTTAGGGTGGCTAAGAATACGAGTACAGGGCTTTCACCTCAAGGCGTTCCAGAGGAAGACAGAGAAAAAGATGAGGGTGAGAATGTAGGGGGCTGAACATAGTAGAAGAAGAAAAAGGTTTTATACCTGCTTTTCTCTACCTCAAGGAGTCTCAAAGCAGCTTACAATTGCCTTCCCTTCTCAGCTAGTTCCCCATTTATTTATTTCAAAAATGCCTGTTTTATATAGAACCGAGTGGAGTTTGCATGATACCACTAATGAAAGGGTGGCAACTTGAACTAGATGGCACAGGGTTTTCCCAAAGAGATTGCATCATTAGGTGAACAATTAGGCTTGGCTCACAGCTGGTTGGTAGCCATGCCCTGGGGCCATCTTCTGGCTCCACATGTCCCAGCACTTGGCAGATTTTGCAACTTCTGTGAAAGAACAATAGTTCTTGGAGACATGACAGAGGAAAAAGAAGCTGCTTCTACAACTAGGTCACACAGGTACCTGAAGGCATAATTTTCTATGCAGATTGCTTTTTATTAACGTATTTAGTGACTGTAGATTTGTTTATGACTCATGTGGCAGAACAGGCCTGCTGTGGCCTGCAGGCCTTGTGCCACCCTGCCCTCCAAGGTTCTCTCAACACCTGGAGAGGCTTTTCTCTCTCTCTGGTAACCCGCCACTGCCACCTGACCTTTGCAGGAGTTACCCACTGGAAGGGTCAGGACTCCCAGTTTGGTGTAATGCTTAAGTGCACGGACTCTAATCTGGGCGAACCGGGTTTGATTCCCCACTCCTCCACTTGCACCTGCTTAGATGACCTTGGACAAGCCATAGTTCTGGCACAGCTGTTCTTGAAAAAGAGCAGTTTCTGTCACAGCTTGTTGGAATTGCAAGTTGCTTACACTTCAGTCATTACAGAGTTAAATGTTGTTTGTTAGCAAACAGGATGTTAACGTTACATAATGTATTCAACGGCGGGAAAGTTTGTGGGAGTTGTTTATCCTAATGAAGTGCACCTGTAACCTTTGTATTGGTCAACTAACATCTTGTTTGTAGAAATGCTTTGATCTATTCACAAGTTTATGGCCCTTTGTGTGAACCAAAGCGGTAGTTCTCTTCTAGAAGCCAAGAGAGATAGAAAGATGTAGCTGTTAGAATATATTACTGAGAGTAACTGCAAGTATGTAACCTTTTTATTTTATTTCTTTT